ACTTCTTCCAAGCTCAGGATCAGTGCAACCCTAAGAGTAGAAAATCAGGGAATGGATGCAGGAGGCCTGCGTGGATGAGCAAGGAGTTCATGGATAAGATCAAAGGGAAGAAGAGGGTTTAGAAAAAGTTGAAAAAAGGGCCTGTCCGCTTGGGAGGAGTACAGGAGTGTTGTCAGAGCCTGCAGAGAAGTAATGGGGAAGGCCAAAGCTCACACTGAGGCAAAGCTAGCGAAGGAGATAAGGGATATTAAGCATGGTGATCTTCCTACTCATTTTAATTTTCTTTCCTTTTCCTCCTTTTCTCTGAAAGCTGTGAAGTAATTCAAGCCTTCTGTGATTTCCTTATATAGCATACAGCTTAGACAGATACAATTGTGAGAGGGTCGACGCATGAAGGATTACCATTTTGTGGAAATCTCCTGAAGGACTACAAGAGGAACATGGCTGGAAAAGGACCTTAGAAGTGATTCTTTCTGCACAGACAGGTCAGCCCTCCCCTACAATGGTAGTGCTATGGTGCCAGACACCCAGCAGGACTCTGTGATCAATTTGTGCTGTTGTGTCACAAGGAACAACTAGTGAGATTGCAGAACCATCAGAGTAAGGCAATGCCCGGGTGAGTGCGAGTGCAGGAGTCGAAGTGAGTGTCTGCAGCCTGCAGGCAATAGGAGGAGGCTGGTGTAGGACTGCATAGAACAGCCTCTGGTAGAGATGGCCAACAGCACTGGCAAGGCTGGAGGGCCCTGAGAGAAAACCAAGGTCTTTGTCCTCTTGGCTGTGGCAGCTGTGTCTGCTGCTGAGGCTCAAGTGGCACGTTTTCCTCATGCCACGGGGGCCTCCTTGCCTCCTTGCAGTCCTGTAGGGAGGCCAGTAGTTGTCGTATCATTTTCCCTCACAGAACACTACACACGCACATAGGACAGGTGTACTGTTCTTGGACAGTTGTTCCATTCTTTGCGTAAGTAACTGGCTAGAGGGCCGTGCCCAATGGGCAGTGGTTAATGGAGCTAAGTCCAACTGGTGACCCGTTACAAGTGGTGTCCCCCAGGACTTGGTACTGGGACCCATCTTGTTTAATATCTTTATTGTTGGCCTTGATGAAGGCACTGAGTGTGCCCTTAGTAAGTCTGCAGATGGCAACAAGCTGGGAGGTAGTGTTGATCTCCCTGAAGGTAGGGAGGCCCTTCAGAGGGATCTGGATAAGCTGGATTGTTGGGCTGAGGGGAATGGGATGAGGTTCAACAAGGCCAAGTGCCAGTTCCTGCACTTTGGCCACAATAATCCCATACAGCGCTATAGGCTTGGGGATGAGTGGCTGGATGACTGTGAAGAGGAAAGGGACCTGGGGGTGTTGGTTGAAGCTTGGCTGAACACAAGCCGACAGTGTGCCCAGGTGGCCAAGAGGGCCAACGGCATCCTGGCCTGCACTAGAAATAGTGTGGCCAGCTGGAGCAGGGAGGTCATCATCTCCCTCTACTCAGCACTGGTGAGGCCGCACCTCGAATACTGTGTTCAGTTTTGGGCCCCTCACTGCAAGAAAGACTTTGAGGCCCTGTAACGTGTCCAGAGAAGGGCAACGAAACTGGTGAGTGGTCTGGAGCACAAATCCTACGAGGAGTGGCTGAGGGAGCTGGGATTGTTTAGAATGGAGAAGAGGAGGCTCAGAGGAGACCTCATTGCACTCTCAAACTTTGGCCTCTTTTCCCAGGCAACAAACAGGACCCGGGGAAATGGCTCTAAGTTGTACCAGAGGAGGTTTAGGTTAGACATAAGGGAGAACTTTTTTCCCTCAGAGAGTGGTCAGACAATGGAATGGCTGCCCAGGAAGTGGTGGAGTCATCACCCCTGGCAGTGCTCAAGAGGCATCTGGATGAGTGGCTATGAGATATGGCTTAGGGGCTTGTAGTAGCAATGGTAATGGGAGGATGATTGGACTGGATGATCTTGCAGGTTGTTTCCAACCTTGTGATTAAATGATTCTATGATTCACATTCCACTGAATGTGGAAGAGCCTTGGGACATCAGGGAGGGACAGGACCACCCTTCCCAGAGGCTGCAGCTATGGCCCTACCCTTCTGCTGCATCAGACAAACCAAGGGCTTGCCTCACTCTCAAAGCACCTGCACAGGGTCTTTGCCTGCCTGGAATCACGACCTCCTGTTATCTGCTCTAACATGGATGTGGGGAGGCTTTGTTGGTAATGGTTCCACAGGGACCAATTAACACTCCAACACTCTCCAACATTTCTGGACAGCTTTTTGACTGCACCTTCATCATTTGTTTGCTGCAGTCTTCTCTCAGTATCTGAAGTTCATGGACACCACATTCGCTGAGGGACTCATTACAGTGCAGAAAGATCTAACAAGGCATTTCTCTCAAGTCTTCAAGACTTGAACTGTTCATGAGGGAGGTCTCAGTGTTGCAGACAAAGTTTTCCAGGAGCACTGTCCAAAAAAGTAGTCGCTGTATTTAAGGCTATTTTCATTACAGCAGACACAGGGATGTCAGTGAGTGCGGCACAACCCCTGTGACACAGATGGCAGCTCTGTCAGGGAGAGGGAAGTACAGCCAGCATGGGGATAGCATTGTGGGGATGCAAGAGGGAAATGTAGTCAGTGAGAGCTGAAGAATGGATAGTGACTGCACCAGACAAAGATGGGAATTAATGTAGATGGAGGAGAAAGAAGCCTGTGGAAGAGGAGGGATGCAGGGGGCCAGTTGCTTGTGGCCAAATGTGTGGTCAGTGCTGGTCTGGCTGGGTGTGTGGGAGGCATGGGAGGGAGCTGACTCCCTCCAGGACCCAGGACTACAACCTGAGGATAAGATGCCTCAGCTGATTCATCTGGATCCCATCCCTATGGAAGTGTAAAGGGCTGTCCGGCAGAGCCAGGGAGCTGCAGGGAGATGTGTGGGGGGAAGGAAGGAGCCCTCAGCAGCACAGGGGCCTTCTGCTTCTAAAGGTGCTGTATGTGGCTGGGGGATCACAGCTGCACTGCACACTTGTTATCTGGGCATCCCTGTGAACGACAGGTTGGCCATGAGCCAGCAGTGTGCCCTGGTGGCCAAAAAGGCCAATGGCATCCTGGGATGCATTGAAAAGAGCATGGCCAGCAAGTCGATGAAGGTGATCCTCCCCCTCTACTCTGCCCTGGTAAGGTCTCACCTGGAGCACTGCGTCCAGTTCTGGCCTCTCCTGCACAAAAAAGACAGGGATCTCTTGGAAAGAGTCCAGCGGAGGGCCACAAAAATGGTGAAGGCCCTGGAGCATCTCTGCTATGAGGAAAGGCTGAGTGAACTGGGTCTGTTCAGCCTTGAGAAACGACGAGAGTGGGGATCTAATCCAGGTTTATAAATATCTGATGTGTGGGGGCCATAGTGGTGAGGCCAATCTCTCTTCAGTGGTACGTGGAGACAGGACAAGGGGAAACGGCCGGAAACTGCAGCATAGGAAGTTCTGCACAAATGTGCACAAGAACTTCTTTACAGTGGGGTGACGGAGCACTGGAACAGGCTGCCCAGGGAGGTGGTGGTGTCTCCTTCTCTGGAGATGTTCAAGACATGCCTGGATGCCTACCTGTGCGACCTGGTGTAGGAAACCTGCTTTGGCAGGGGGGTTGGACTCGATGATCTCTAGAGGTCCTTTCCAACCCCTACAGTTCTGTGATTCTGTGATGATACCTGCAAAGATAAGCATGCACACAGATACTGCCCTGCAAACAGGCAGTTTCCTGACAGGCAAAAATGGGTGCACTGACTTTCGGGTGGCGAGTGTGACAGCAGAAAGGAAAAGAAGGAAAAGACACAAGACTTGTAAAGAATAGGCCAATAGACACCAATAGAAGGCTCGGTTTTCTCCCTCCAGGTTGGGAAATGCCTTCCCAAAAGCAATCAGTGGGCTGGAGGAGAAACCAAAACCAAATCCTTTCCCTCTCCTCATTGCACATGCTGACATTTATTTTAAGAACAACAAACAAGACTACAGTGAAGAAAGCTCCAGAACAACTCAGCTACTTTATTCACCCCCTTCCCTTTCCTCTACAGATGATTCTCAGAAAAACTCCAAGAGCCACGTTACTGCTCTCCTGACCCTTCCCTCAGATTCATCAGCACACTCACAAATTACTGAGAGCAACACATGCACACAGACACACAGAACATCCCCACACAGACACCTCTCCTTAGGAAATGGCATCAAAAAGCTGCTGGCAGGAAGAGCAGAAGAGGAAAGCAGGATTTGGGTAGCAAGGAGAGGCCATCTGAAGCTCCTGGGTTAAATCCATTCTGCAGAGGGTGCCAGTGATTCCATCTCCTTTGCAAACTCCTGCTGTGTGGGGAGAATAACTGGGGTCTCCCCCATCCTTGGGCTCACCAAAATTCTTAAGGTCTCTCTGTAGGGGGTTTCCCCATGAGAAAGCAGGCGCCAGCTCAGAGGGAAATTTCCTGCACCAGAGACACTTGCAGGGCCACTTTATCACACAGACTGGACAATGTTTAATGACGACTGAGCTCAGGATGAAGCTCTTCCTGCAGTGCAGGCATTTCCATGGTCTCTGCACTGAGTGGATCCCCTGGCAAAAGCTCTGCCCACACATGGGACATCTGTAGCACTTCTTCCACGAGTGCCATCTCTTGTGAGTGAGGAGCTCTGCACTCTGCACAAAGCCCTTCTCACACTTGAGGCATTTCTAAGGCTTCCTGCCACGTGAACTCACTGGTGCATGCACGGATTGGACTCCACCCAAGTGCAAACACTCTGGTACCTCAGTTTGTTTCTCCTCAGGTCGTTGCCGCTGTTTTTAATTTTTTTTGGGTCCCCTGTTTCCCTTTTTTCCAGAGGCACGGATTTTGCGAAATCCCTCTACCCGCTGGTCATGGAACTGGGCCGAACCAGCCCATAAACCGTTGACAGGTGCTCTGCAGGCTCTGTATCTTGTGTGGCTGTGTTGGTAGGTAATGAGGCTGGAACTGCTTTTGAAGGTTCCCCGTATGCTGGGGATGTTTTACAGCCTGTGTGCGCTGTGGATGTGCTTGTGGATGTTGAGATTAGACCTGTGTTTGAAGCTTTTCTCACACTCAGGACACTTGAAGGGTCTCTCCCCGGTGTGCTGATGGCTCTTCAATTCAGAATTCCTTCTGAAGCTCTTCCCGCACTCGGGACACTTATAGGGTCTTTCTCCTGTGTGGATGCGCTGGTGGCGTTTCAATTCAGTACTGCTTTTGAAGCTTTTTGCACACTCAGGACACCTATATGGTCTCTCCTCTGTGTGGATGCGCTGGTGGCGGTTTAAATCAGAACAACTTTTGAAGCTCTTCCCACACTCAGAGCACTTGTAGGGTCTTTCTCCCGTGTGCAAGCGGTGGTGGTACGTGAGGTGGAAACGGGTTTTTACGGTTTTCCCACACTCAGAGCACTTGTAGGGTCTCTCTTCTGCATGGTGGCGCTGGTGGGAGGTGAGGTGGGATCTCCTTTTGAAGTTCTTCCCACACTCAGAGCACTTGCAGGGTCTCTCTCCTGTGTGGATGTGCTCATGTTTCTTCACATCAGAACTGCTTTTGAAGCTCTTCCCACACTCAGAGCACCTGTAGGGTCTCTCTCCTGTGTGGACACGCTGGTGGACAATGAGGAGGGATCTCCATTTGAAGCTCTTCCCACAATCAGAGCACTTGTATGGACTCATTGCTGAGCTCATGCACTGGTGGTTAACAACACTGGAATCTTCCTCAAAGCTGTTTCCACACTCAGTGCATGGATTCTGCTTTTTCTGCTGGCACACATCCATGCTCCTGGGTTCTTCAGGCTCTCTCTGACCTATGTTGAAGTCCAACGGGCTCCTCCCTGTCTTTCCCAGATGCTTTCCCAGTGGCTCCATGATGTGCTCACCCTGACCTTGCTCCAGGCCTCCTTGGACATCCCTTCTGATTTCTTCCACACAGACACCACCCCACCGCCTTTCGGCCACACCACTTTCCTCCAGGTCCTCCAGTACATCTGTAATCCCAGTTTCTCCTGGATGAAAGAGGAAATCCAGAAATAGTACACAGTGCCCAAAATAAAACACAAAAATGGCTCTTCCAGACCCAAACTTCTTCCCTCCACCACCTCACCTGGGCTGAGGTCTCCTGGCACGGCCTCAGGGCTACACACATCTGGGATCCAGGGGTCTTCCCCTCCTTCAAGCAGGGAGATCACCATGGGTTTGGGAGTTGGAAGTGGAGCTTCAATGGAAGAAATACGGAGATAAGAGTGTTTCCCAGAATCTGGCACAGCCGCTTGACCAGCAACTTTGCAGTACATCCATCACCATGGTGAAAACAAGATTAGGGCCATAATAACAGTGGGCAATCACACACCCATTAGAATGTTTCCTTTAATATTTTCCAAACAGCTCAATGCCCAAGGCTTCAAGAATGTTCATGGGAATAGACTAGATGATCTTGCAGGTTGTTTCCAACCTTGTGATTCAATGATTCTATGAATGGAAAATAGAGGCAACAAATGCAGAAGTAACAACCTGAAAGTGGTCTGTCCACTGGGGCTGGAGGCACCATACAATGCAGCAACACAAGGGCTGTTTGCAGGGAGCTGGTTCTCCCGCTCCAGGCTGATGCCTGCTTGCCAAAACTGACACTGGGGCTTTTATGAGTCTGTTGTGAATACTAACCCTTTCTGATATTCATGCTTCTCATTCTTTCCTTTGTTGCTGTTGTAGTTATCAATATGTAACTACACGGCAATTTTACTAGCTCCAGCCTGCAGAGGCTCTTCCTGCACAGCCAGAGGTGCCCTAACGAGGAGGAAAGGCAGCAAAGCCC